AGGAGGAGTCGTTCGTTGAGGTTGATAGGAGCGAAGAAGAGGTGTCGCACTTTGTCGTCGAGGACGCCGAGATCGAGGTAGTCATGGTCGAAGAGGGCCTTGGCAAGGAGATGCACATGATGGTCAAAGTGTTCGAGATCGAAGAGGTGCCCGAGGTTTGGATGGTCGAGGATGAGTCCTTGAGGACAAGGACATTTCCAAAGGGGGCGGGAATGATGCGGAAGTGGGTTCCGAGCACCGACGACAAGAAGATCCAAGAGGCGAGACGACCCGATGAGGCTGGAAATAGGGCCAAAATGACGCACGCATGGCCTAAGAGACGGGTACGAGCTCGTATGCGAGGCGCACAAACACGCAAGAAAGGGCGCATTCAAGAAGGGCGCGCACACGCGCATTGGCGTAGACACGCATGGCGCTTGATGGTTTGGCGATGTGGCGCGCAGGGGGTGGATGTTGGGTGGTTGACGCGCGCGAGGGGTTACTATGGATGGACGAACGTGGCCAAAGGACGAATAAGCAAATGGCGCGCATCGGGCCATGATGCGCGCAACAGGGCTAAATGTGATGGCGCGCTTTGGTCGAGTGATCGTGAACGAGGAGCAGAAGGGTGCGCGGTAAAAATGAAGGCCACGGGCGTCGATTGGGATGCGTTGGCATTCGGGGCGTTGGACGGGCGCAAGGTGCGCACGGACTACGGGCGTACGCATGCAAGGGACGGAGACACGCCAGCAGCGAGCGGGAGCGATAGCGCGTACGCGGTTGACGTCCTAAGCCCAGCGGGCATAGGAGTGCTGGGAGCAGGCGTGCACGCGCATGAGGAGGTCGGCGGACTGGGCGCGCGCGCAAAGGACGCTGCGTGGGAGTCAAGCGCTCGGGTTGCCGCGCACCACGAGGAGTAGGAAAGGCGAGGGCGGCGCGCGAGCTGGCAGGCGCGCGACGCATAAGGGCAGTCGAGTATTTGGGGCGTATGGATGGGATTTGTTTGGAGTGCAAGCCAAGCAAAATCAAGATCTAGTCAATTTAGGACTTTAGATATTTAGTTTCCTTTTTGCACAATAATATCTAGAATGTTTAGGAATTTAATATTTTATTGCTTTAATATGTTTCCTAGGTAGATTAGAATTAGTCATAGTTAGGATCTATAAATAGGGATGTTCCCTCATTGTTTTTAGAGGTCCAAGAATGATGAAATAGAAAAGAAAGTTTGTTCAACCGTGTGTTGAGAGTCGTGAGATTCGATCATACAAATCGAATTGGTGAGGCTAAGACCCGAGCCAGTTCAAACGAGTAGAGA